CTGACAGACACACAGAGACGGACAGAAATTAAGAACCCAGAATTGCTCCACAGTATGCTTTCTGTCCTTATGAGGATGGTACACAGGATAGGGGAGCTCTAACACTTTTTTTTTTTAATTTTAAATTTTTATTTATTTGTTATAGGGTCTCACTATTCAGCTTGGACTTACAGTAGGCCTCTTGTCTTAGCCTCCCCAATGCTGGGATTACAGGAGTGCGCCACTACATTGGGCTCCAGGCTGGCATGGCAGGTGGTACAGGGGATCGAATCTGGGTCCTTGAGCTTGCCAGGCATGCGCTTAGACCACTGAGCTATCTCCCCAGCCCTCTAATACTTTTTATTTTGAGAAGAGTCTTCATAAGTACCCTAGGCTGGCCTTGAATTTGCAATCCTTCTGCCTCACCCCTGTGAGCAGCTGGGATTATGGGTGTGTTTTACCATGCCAAGCTGTAGTCTGACTTTGGACAAAGGCTGTGAAAATAATTCAACGGAGGAAGGAGTCTTTGCACCAAATGGTGCTAGAGCAATGGGGCATCTGTGGGCAAAAGTAAATCTTGAACCAAGGACAATAGACAGATGGCACATGAAAAGATGCCTGACATACACATCTATGAGAATGGCTAAAAACATTGACAACACCAAGTGTTGGCCAGCATGTGGAGTAATAGGAGCTCTTGTTCATTGCTGGGAAAAATGCAGAATTGTGCACTCTGGAAGACAGTTTGACATCAGAACTAAACATCACACTGTTAAATCCAATCTCTGTACTCCTTGTATTTATTTAAAGGAGCTGGAAACTTATGTCCACACGAAAAACCTGCATATTGATGTTTATAGTAGCTTTGCTCATAATTACCTGAACTTAGAAGCAACCATTTCAATAGGTGACCATGTATCCAATGGACTACAAATTCGGGGCTAAGAAGTGAGCTATTAAGATCTTAAATGCATATAGCTAAGTGAAAGAAGCCATTCTGAAATAACTGCATGGTTCCAATTAAATGACATTCTTGGAAAGCTAAGGGCAAGAGGCTGAAAGCTAGTAGGCAAACAAAGAACACAATCCTGGTCAGTGGGGTGTCAAGCTGGGGTACAATTCATGCACAATTCCCTAGCACTTTTATAAGAACAAGAGAGATACAAGTGCCACTCCACACCCTCACCCTGGCTGACCCCATGGGCAGGAGTGGGATTTTCCAAGCAGCTGTTTTTGTGAGCTCTGACTCTGGTCTTCAAGGCCCCAGTTTTCTCTTGATGCAAACCAGACTGCAAGTGTTTCTCATTAGCACGTGCCCCATCCAGTAAGCACTGTCCTTCTGCTTGTCTATGTGCCCCTTGGCTGCAATATACGTGAGGGACAAATGAATGCAGCCCTCCCGGGTGTGTGAGTCAGAGCTGGGCTCCAGTCTGAGGGAAGCAGCTGAAAGTTTTCTTGTTGGGGAGCCAGTGTTTGTGCTGTAGCAGCTTCACTCCCCTTTGCCTCCCTGAGCCTGGTCATCAGCAAGGGTCCCTGGTGGTCCTGGTCTGCTACAGAACGGTGGTCTTCTCTGAAAGGGCAGGAAAGGCCAGGCTGTGGATAGGCAGGTGAAAAGATAGACACAGTCTATGCTGAGCACCTGCCAGATACTCATGTGCCCCATCCTTTCCAGCTGCTACTACTTGTTCTGGCAGCTCTCTGGGAGGGGCCATCCACACCCAAAAGGATGAAGAGCACTTAACACCTCAGGCTAGAGAAGGCAATGGGAGTGGTGATTGGGGGTAGAGTTCCAAGGGTCACTATACTGTTGGTTCAGGGCTCAGTGTGATTGTTAGGCTCCTGTGGTCCAGATGGCTCCCATCACATGCCCTATGCTAACTCCTACTGCCCTTGATCTCTCCCCATGGTCCCAGGCAGAGGGGTAGTCCTAGAGGGAAGGTGCTTATAATCAGCACTTGTCCCTCATATTCCATGCCATACTCAACAGAAGGGCACAGCTTGGAGCAGGACTGAGGGTGCGGACCACGGCAGCACTGTACTGTCCAGGGCCAACGGGTGACTGCCAGGCCCTGCAGGCCAAGTACAGCCACGACAGGGGGCAGAAGCCTTGTTATGCCAGAAGAAGGCTTGGCTACAAGACTGGAGCACACCCTGGCACTTCATAAGAGGGTTACCACTGTGAAGATCTGCTTCCACCATGGGCAGACATGTCCTAGTGCACAGCTGGTGGGATGGAATTTGAAAAGGGGGATGGAGAAGTGCCAAGGTTAAGGTCCATGCAGTAACAGAGGGCTGACCCATGATGACCATATGGGAATCATGCCTTTCAAGAATTACAGCAGTGTGCCTCTTTGTCGTCCCTCACTGGCTTCTCTGAGGGAACAGAACCTGGTCTCTCACGAGACCTTCATGTTTCCTTATTAAATAAATAGTATACTTGGTTTGGCCCTGGGTGGCATTAAGTTATATTAATGGTGACAAGTGGCCCAGCAAAGAATATAAACTTTTCTAATTTTTGTTTTGTTTTGTTTTTTGTCTTTTTGGGACAAGGTTAAACTGTGCAGCAGTTCAGGCTGTCCTTGAACTCACTCTGTAGCCCAGCCTGGCCTCAAAATTGCAGTGTTCTTCCTGCCTCAGCCTCCTGAGTGCTGGGATTACAGGCATGTACCACCACATCCAGACTTAAACTACCATTTAGAACAAATCATTTTAAAAATACTCCCTGCCCTGACCTGTATGTCATGTAGAACAAAGTTTACCCTGTAAATGCACAATTCCTAAAGTCCATCTTCAAGAGGAAGATCAGCTGCCTCTTGGCTAGGGAAGCTGTACCAACCCCCCTGCCTCCCCACGCAAAGAAGGACTAAATGCCAACAGATTCAGGCAGCTGACCACTCTCGGGCTCCCAACCAGCAGTCCCGAGTGCCCTTGGTGTGGAATGCAGCTGATCTTATCGGCTGCTACTCCAGAACAACTGGGAAGACTTGCCAAGTCTCAAGAATGTGGTAAGGGAAGGGCAATTCCCATGTGTCTATGGTGTGTGACCTCAGCATAGTACTGGCTGCAGTGCACAGATCATGATTATTAGGGACCAGCCCCATGGCCACAGCACAGGTGGCTGTGGGGCTGTGCAGTAGAAAGATGGTTTCATGAGCTCAGCTGGAGAGAAGGCTCACTTGGAAGATTCTCCAATGCATCATAAACTTTCTGCCCTTCTGATTGCCTACCTGTGTGACTAAGAGCAGGGAGCGTGGTGGAGCTACCTGCAGCACTCTCACTGCAAACAGCTGTTCTATCCAGTCATACGGCACCCTGCAGTAGATTCCGGAAGTCTGGCACTCTGGGGTCATGCAGCATGGTCCAGACTGACCAGGAGCCTCGTCTTATGCCATTAATATAATGGAGACAAGGCTTTCCTGTTATGGCAGATGGCTAGAGCTCACAGTCCCAAACCAGATCTAGAAAGCCAGAGACTACCTTGGTTCAACCTGGCTCACTTATCTGGGATATGACCTTGGGTAATTTGCTTAAGTGTTTTCAATAAAATATCATGTGGGGATGATAAAAATACTGTACTTCGGGGCTGGTGAGATGGCTCAGTGGTCTAAAGCACCTACTTAAAACAAGCTTAGCAAAGCACAGGGACCGCGGTTCAATCCCCCAGCACCACATGCCAGCCAGCCCCACCCCCTGGTGGGCTGAGCTGGTCACACACACACACATACACACACACAGGAATTAAAAAAAAAAAAAAAAGAAAAAAGAAAAAAAATACTGTACTTCACTGATGCTATGACACATCTCTCATTTTAATATCTCTAAAATCAGGATGCTCAGGACACAAACTTAAATACTGTATGGTACCTCTCATCTGAGTAAGGCAAAGAATGAACTAAAAAAAGAAGGATGGAAGGAGATAAAGAGATGGATCTCATTTATGTGTGCCAACTCCACAAAATGATTATAAAATGCATATATGCAAATACATATTTATACAGTAAAAATTAAAAAGTCAGAATGTGTCTTATATTGGGCAATTTTAAGGCTGCTGAGGGCGGAGAACAGAATTTGACACAAAATGAGCATTACTCAGGAGCCAATGATGGCTAATGGTGTCTGCTTTTGGCAAATGAGATAACACCTGATACCTTAGAGCACTGTGGTCCTAAGCTGAGCTGACTGACATAAAGCTTTGGTAGGGTCAGTATACTGGCACTGGAGCAGAGGCACTGTGGTGAAGCCAAGGGACTCACAGGCCAGAGAAGGCCTGTCTGTGCCTGGTCATAGACCTCATTCTTGCTTTCTGGCCTGTGGCATCACGAAGAAACTGAGTGACATTCTGGCTGTGTTTAACCCCTGGCTGCACAGCAAACCCACATTACTCTGCAATCCGCACCCTTTAATTTTCAGAAACAATCATTCTTGGATACAGAACCAGAACATGTCACGGTGGTGCCGTTCTTCGAACTTCAGGACACCACTCACGCAACCAATCAGGTGTCTGACAGGGCAATGGCTCTTTAAGCTGCTTTACTGCAACCCACTGTTTACAAAGAAAACCCCAAAGCCAGAAAGTAGTGGGCGAGCAGAGAAAAGGAGCGGAGGGCGGGAGCGCAGCAGGTGCAGCTGGGAAGGCCTGATTACCGCCTTCAGCTCTAGCCCCAGCCGGCTTCCTCGGGGCGGCTACGTGCACCCTGCAGATTAAGGATGGGTGACTCAGCAGCTTGCGCTGCACCCCCAGAGAAGCCAGAAGGCGGACACTGAGGGACGCTTGAAAGATCGGCAGGAGAGCCTCAGGTTCGCGTCCTCCCATGGGACAGGTCTCAGGTTACCCAACGCGAAGCGCCCCCGCCTCCTAGGTCCGACAATAGGCGCGGCTGGGGGCGGGGGGGAACCTCAGGCTCTGGCCACAGAAACTGCGCTCAGCGGCCTGGAGGCGGGGCCTGTGATTGCGGAGCTCCGAGGCTGGGAGGCGGCGCCGTGGGCGGGTCCGACGCGATCACGTGTGTACACAGGGCCCGGGCGGCGTGCGCGCCGTGAGCCCCTCCGCCTCGTCGGAGCCCCGCGCTGCCCGCAGTGGCCGCCGCCCAGAGAGCCGGTGAGTGGGGCCCGGGCCTGGGGCCTGGGCAGGGTCAGTCGAGCGAACTCTGGTTTCGGTGGTCGAGGAGCGAGCGGAGTCGCGCGCAGTTGGCTAGTGCCCTCTCCCTGTAGCACATAGTGGCGAGGAGGGCTGCCGGACAAGCCGAGCCCCAGCTGGGGGACGGGCGCCAGGTCACTGACCTGCGGACCGGCAGCCAGGTCTCCTGCCCCCAGAGGCGCTTGCCCGGCTCCTCACATGACTGGCGGGAACCTATGGAGTCCTCCTGACCATGGTTATCGTTTTCGTCCCTGGAATAAGATTTTTGGTATTGGAACTGTCTACTTGGAGATAGCTAGTGTGTTGTCAGCTGTCCTGGACAGTTGATAGGGCGCAGAAAGGTTTCTTCAGTGCCTCAGTGAGAGGCTTTAAAACATCCACTAATAACCAGATACCCAGAATTAAGTTAATAGTGTAAAGTGGTAAATCACTGAACTAGACATTTGGAGATTCCTGATGTAAGTAATCGTGGTGGTTCATCTGTGCTGCACATGCTAATCTGAGAATAATTTTATATTTTCTGTCCAGAACAGCATTTGTCACCTTTCATTTCCTTATCTGTGGAGAGGTACTTATTTAAGATCTCCATTGCACTTTAATCAGCTGACACCTCTTTTTTCCCTTTATCTTGAGCATCTAGCAGAAGCATTTAGTAACAGAATGGCCACAAGCTTACTTTAAAATAAAGCTTCTGCAAATTTGTATGAATAAAGCTGTTTTGATTGTGTTCTCAGGCTACTCTTGCATGATAGCGGCCAGATGCTCTATCATCCTAACTGGGACACAGCTGAGTGCGAAGGGGCACTATGAATAATTATACTGAAAGCAGGGCTACGTTATTGGGTCATGACCTCCTGTGTAGCTCCTTAAAGAAGCTGTTACATCCACTTCTCCAAACCAGAACTTCTGGTATCTTACTAAGTGAAAAAGTCCTCTAAAGGTTATTAACTTTTAGAAGAAGCTTGTGTATGCTGAATGCTTATAGTGCCAGTTCTTAGAGAGTAAGCTCATTGCCCAGGGCATAGCTGTGTGGGTGTGACCCTGAACAGACTCAGGGTAGAGCTGATTTGGTCTTCCCATAATTCACCAGACCCTAGCATGTTGATGAAGAGGAAGTAAAGTACATTCACTTCCATTCTCAGTAATGTGAATACGTACAGGATGTTAGGTTTTGTGTAGACCCATTATATCTAACAATGGGTAAATGTGTTCAGTTTGGCTGGGGGAGCATGCTTGTGTGATTCAAGGTAGAGACTGTTGCACACTGCTCCCTTGGGAGGCTGCCTCCATCACAACCACTAGACTATCACTTGAGAGTAGTAACTCTTGAAATAGTAATTGTCACTGGACCTTTAATGACCCACACCCCTTCAGTCATATCCATCAAGGGTATGCCTTGGGGGAGGAGAGGGAGATCACCTCTCCCCTGAAAGTACACAGGACAGTAAGAGCACACTGCTTTCTTTACAAGGTGCTTCCCGGTTACTTCCTTCCTTGCTGGTTTCTCACTCCCTGTAAGGCTCAAGCAGGCTGGCTGTGTACTTTTTCTCTTGGCTGACAGCACAGCATTAGACTGTGGCTGTCCACAGGTCAAGAGTCCTAAAGTACCATTCAACAAAGAGTTGAGGGGGTACTCAGTTTGTAGAGTAAAATGGTGAGGTTTTTTCCTAGCGTGAGATGCTGCTGAAGGAGCAGAATTCAGTCCCTTAAGCAGGGAGAGGGGCAAACTGAAATGGGGCTGATGTCCTGCTCAACCCGATGGTCCACCCTGGGGCCCTTCCTTACTTGCCAAGGGGAATGTGTCCAGGAGTTTCCCCATTTTAATTAGAACCAGAGCAAACCAAACAAGCAACTGTTGCCATTAGAACAAACGTGACAAGTAAAAATAACCACCAGCGAATGATAAGATCTGTGGCTCTGAGCACTTCCCTGCAGGTAAGGCCACGCCTAGTTAAGAGCTGGGGTGGTAGGAAGCCAAGATGGGGTGCCACGCCTGCCCAGGATCTGAAATGGGGACTTTATCTGGACCATCAGTCTGGTCCTTGAATTTCTGAGCAGTCTTTTTTTGTTTGTGTTTTTCCCTGGGCTGCTGTTTGTGGGAAGGGTATTAGCCTCAAACCACGTTAGTAAGAGAACACAAAAGTCCCAGTAATGAGTACTTCATGAACAAAGGAATGTGTCCTATCTTCCTCCAGGGAAACAAAGCTCAGGCACCACAGTGCCCTGCTGCTCCCTGGCAGAGGGGCTGGACTAAGTCACTTTGACTCCCCCCCACCCCCACCCCAGCTCCTGCTTTTCCAAGGAGGACAGCATGCACACTTGTTTATGCATTGCAGCCAGGTTGCCTGGTTCACTCTCCCTCTCTTGTTGCTCTGCATTTAGAACTATAAAAAGCAAAAGGCTACAAAAATCAAAGCCAGCCATCTACATAATGAAGCTTTCTTATCACACCCCAGGGAGGCACTGTGTTTGTGATAGGAATCAGTGTGCCCAAGCTCTCCACACTGAAAACCTATGACAACAACAGCCTTCTCTGAGCATCTGGCTCCAACAACTGGATGTTAATTGTCACCAAGGCCTCTGCTCATTACTACAAAAGGAAACCAAAAACAAAACAAAAATCCCCAAACAGAAGCCATTTTCAAAGCACTCTGTTCCAGCACATTCACCTGGAATTGAGCATCTTATGGTGAAGAGCAGGTCTTTTTCCAACAGAAGCCACCTGCAGGGCCTGTCAGTCAGGAAGAACCTCAGCATGAAGCCTGCACTGCTGCCAGCACTGTCCCCATATCCTTCTCAAGATGCAACAGCCTGAGCCTTCTAATTTCTTTCCACAGAAATCTTATTTCTCAGGTATCAAGGGTGAAACATCTGTAATGGAACAAAAGCAAGCACCCCACCTGCTCAGCCACCCTATCCACTCTACAACAACATCCTCAGCCAGCTCTTGGGGGCACAGTACAGGGTACCCCTGGCCCAGGCTCTGTGTGGGTGGGAGAAATGCACCTGGTCTCAGCCCAGCGTGATCCCCTGGGGGCATGTGGAGACTCTTCAGGGATAGAGCCCCCAAGGGTGCTAGTTCCCCAAACAAAACACTAGAGGTGGGCTGAACAGGGTCATGAGGGAACAGGGAAACAAGGCTAGGCATCATGGATGGGACCCACATGGGCAGTCAACAGTGAGAAAGGATATGGGGCCCTGAATAAGAAGTCATTATTTTCAATCAACAAAGGTTAAAAAGTGAAATACTGAGATACTACCTTAGCGACCTGGCGGTGGGAAGGCTCCTGTGCGGCGTTGTGTTCTACGACATCTGCTTGCTCTAGCACTTGTCCCCGCTACTGCTGTCACCCAGGCAGTTCTCTCCGTGGGCTGCTCCCTGAGCCACTTATTTTAGTCCTGTCCATTCTGTTGCTTACAGAGATTCACTATTAACAGGCTCGTTTACAAAGATGCAGTATCTTACTTTGAAATACCTGCACGTGACCCCATGTCCTTGGAGCCCCAAAGGAGCAGGCAGTGTCAGCTGTGCAGAGTGGCCCACACAGACCCATCAACCCCATTCTGTGGCACAGGGCCTCAAGATGTTTAAGCTACAAGAGGAAAGAACTAAGACCCATGAAGCATGCTCTCCTTCCCAGTTCCACATTCCTTGGAAAGCAGTGAGCACAAGCCAGTGAAGCAAATGTTTATGCTGTAGTTTAATGCTAAACACACACCAGGAAGGCCGGTGTGTTGTGATGTTTGCAGAGCCTCTGCCTTCTGACAGTGTATTGGCTGATGTGTGTTAGTCTGGAGGTTCTTTCCTCTTGTGAAAATCTAGAGGTTCTTTTCTCTTAAGCTTGCCCTAGCACTGCACTCCTCCTTCCCCGCCCCCAGCACTTACACGTGGCTTGTCACTTGGGTTCATGTGCTGTCATCTCTACCCTCCCCTCTAGTTTCCTCTCTACATGTGCCAGTTAATGAAGGTTCTCAGTGAAAGGAACTGGACCAGCTAGCTTCCTCTGCCTCAATGATAGTTGGGGTGGGGGTGTGCTGAAGACCTGTGACCCTGTTATCCTACCATCAAAGTCCAGCATGGGCTTAGCAAATGCCAGGCATTCTTCTAGTTTACAGGAATTGATATATCTAATTTGAACAATCATGTGAAGATTTCTCTACACTTGGGGAAACTCAGCAGAGCGGGTAGCTACCTGCCCACCCAGAGACACACATCTGGTAAACAGACTGCATGGAACTCCTGGCAGCCTGGCTGTGGAGCCTGAATTCCCCAGCACTTCCTTCATGGAGAAGTTTGGGGATGAGGGGTTTCTCTAAGGTCTGCATACTGGTTGAGCTGCCCAGTTCAGTTCTCTGCAGACCACAAGGCACAGCTTTCACCAACAGCATCATTTATTCTAGTCCCATTCAGGCTCCTCATAGCATGGGATGTAGGGCCAGTGTCTAAAGAGTATGAAAGCCATTTTAGGACTGGCATTACCTTGTTTTAAGCATACTGCTCAGAAGCCCCCAGCTTTCTGGGTGTGAAGCCCTAACCAGGGACATCAGTGTTCAGCACTTGTCCCTCCCATTTCATCAGCTTGACCCAGTCAGTAGTGAAGGAGAGCTAGTGGAGAGCTGCACCATACCTGCTGTCTAGGACCTCCAGACCCTGTAGACCAGCCAGTGCAAGGACTCAGTGTCAGCACAGGTGCTGAAGGGTGGGGTTATATAGTGGGGTCTCATTTTACAGGCTGCCATTACCTCCAGGTTTGCCTGCCCCAATTCTGAGTAGGGACTCCTTGGCTGACAAACTTGGTGGAACAGAGTACACCAGCTAGGTGTCTCGGGGCTTTTGGGTGAGGGATGCTTCAGGGGCTTGTGGCTAGAAATTAGGAAGAAACCTTATATCTCCAAGTATATGCTTACGGCCCAGAAGACAGCAGGAAACCACCTGACTTGGGCCCTTTCCAGGTGGTCCCTTTGCTTCAAAGCAGTATAGATGAGGGGAGGATGAAAAGTAGCCAAGAGGAAGTCCATTTGGTAAGGACTTCCTTGGTGCCAGGGCAGGTGCATCTTCCTGTGAGATAAATGGCCCTTTTGGGGTTGTGTGGGCAGGTGGTTCTGTCTTCAGTCAGGAGGACATACAACGCAAGCAGCTGTCCAACAGAGAAACAAAGACCCCCCACTGAGGATCCAGAATTTGGGGTTGTGCAGACTCCTCAAGGACAGTGTTCCCTGGAGCCTCCCAGTGTACTTCAAAATGAAAACATGTGCACCCCCTGGCAGCTAATCATCCCACAAATGATAATTAGGCCTGGCCCCACCCCAGTAGAGGCAGCTGCTTTATTACTTCTGCTGAACTCCAGAAGGGCAAGAAATAGGCTGGCCTGAGGTTATCCCAAATCCAGCAGAGGGGCCAGGACAGAATGCACAGAGCCACAGTGGGTTGGTTCTGCCCTGGTAGCTCTTCTGACCATAAAATTCTAGCCTTGGTGCCCCAGCCAAGCTGTTCTGTACTGGGAGAGGGGATGGCTCTGCACCCTCTGTGATTCCTTAAAGGGTTTATTTGTACAGTGCTCCCACTAATGCCCCAGCACCCTCCCATTACACATGAAGAAGGCCTCCTTACCATGATGAGGCAGGATAGGCACATGGGCACCACTGTCTGGATCCCCTGGCCTCCTTTCTAACTCTAGCTCTCTGACACATTTGTGTCTTGCTCCTCCCTTAGTGGGGAAGCAGGTGCTGAGAGACATAAAGAAGATGTGAGGCCAAGAGCAGAGTACACTGAGGGCTCAGCTGCCTTAGTGGGAATTACATGGCTGATTGGGGTTCATAGCTGGCTTGGATGGGCACTATCCTCCCCCTGCTTCAGCAAGGTCAGCCTTCCCACGCTGTCTTCTCTGTCCTCTGCTGGTCCTAAACCCGCAGCCTGGACACTTCACGTGGGTGTATCACTGCCACAGAGGAAGCGAGCAGATGTAAAACCAGGCATGACCTCATGGCTTCTTCATGGGTGTAATTAAAGACAGAAAGTGAGCATGCTGTCTGGAACTGAACATTTCTGGAGTGGTAGCCCTGTAAAAGTAGACCTTTTTCTTTTATTTATTTATTTATTTATTTATTTTTTTGTGGAACTGGGAATTGAACTCAGACCCTAGCACTTGCCAGGGAAGTGCTTATTCCACTGAGCCACCTCGCCAGTCCCTTTCCATATTGACTTACAAAAGAAAAAGCAAACATCTTCCAGAAAAGAAAGCTACCTGTGTTCCTTTGCAACTCCTTTGGTACAGTGTCTCATCATGTGGCCTGCACAGCATGTGGTGCCGGGATTAAACCTGGTTCTTGTACTTGCCAGGCAGATGTTTATACTCCTGAGCTATCTCTACCGCCCCCTACGCAACTCCTTTGAAGGCCCCTTCAGTCCTCTGTAACAGAGGACCCCAAGGCTACTTGTGTGAACAAACACCGAGATACTGCCTTTTGGAGAACAAGACTTGCTTTTAACCATGGTTTTTGTTTTATTTTTATTTTTTGTGGCATTGGGGATTGAACTCAGGACCTTGTGCTTGCCAGGCAGGCGTTTATGCTGCTGAACTATCTCCCCAGCCAAGATTTGCATTTATTTATTTATTTATTTATTTATTTATAGGAACTGGGGGGTTAACTCAGGCCTGCGCTTGCCAGGCAAGCACTTATTCCACTGAGCCATCTCCCTGGCCCCAAGATTTGCTTTTAATACTGATCCCCACTTACTGTCAGAAGAATCTGGGCAGAGGTCAAAGCCTAAATCAGTTTGTATATGAAAAAATAAAACCCCAACTTCAAACAAGAGAAAAAGAAAGGGCATATAAGTCATTTTATATCATTAATTAATTCTTCTAAAGGGAAAACACTGAAGTGACTGTGATTAGGAACATCTTGGTAGCCAGAGACCCTCATGTGGCCCCAAAGTCACCCATTCCTGGCCAAGCTGGGTGAGGCAGCCTTAGCCTGGGAAGCCCACATGCCTTGCCACCTCCTGGCACATTGCAAGCAGGGAAGTGACCTTGAGGCCACCTTGGCCAGGATCCTGAGGGTTAGTGGGCAGTCTCCCACAGTGATTGGAGAGTTGGAGCTGTGTGTGTCCCTGCAATTGCTTCCTGGGGCCAGGGCACAACAGTGGACTATGTTCCTGGTCACTGTAGAGCTGGTACCTGGCTGGAAAGCTGCCTGGGAATGGCCAGGCCCAAAGCAGGGCAGGTGGGGGAGGTCAGGAGAAACCCAGGGGTTTGCCAGGGTGAAATGAATGTGGTTAACGGGCCTCTACTGCCAGGAGACGGGGGTCATGGGGAAGGGGCATTGGGGGTCAGGGCCTGTCCTGAGAAGTACCCTTATTTTGAGGAATGTGGGTGAGAAGGAGCCTGGCAGGTCTTATAGCAATGGTGAGGGAAGAGTTTCAGGGTGGGAGAGGCCAGTGATGAGCGCGGAAGGTAGCCAAACCAGCCAGTGTGAGGAGGAACATGCTTGGCAGGAGAGCCCAGGGAGGGGACAGATGGGGGTGGAGGAAGGGGGTGGGGGAGAGGGACTTCCTGAAAACCTGGGCTTTCACAAACCCCTCCAGGAGGATGCAGATGGGCAAAGGGGCTGGTAGGGGGCTGGGGCAGCTAGGTGGGCAGTGCTTTGTAATGGGGGGAGTGGTCATCCTAGGGAAGAGGATGTTTTCTCCTGCTGTGATAGTGACAGGCCTCGAGGAGTTCTGCTGACTTGGACCCTTCTAGCAGAAGGAGGGCAGCAGGTGGAGGGTCCCGGAAGTTGGGTCTTGTCATCTGGTGGGCAGCTTCCCAAATGAAAATGGGTGGAACACAAGCATGTGCCAAGAGTGCTTGGCAGCCCAGGCCAAAAGCAAAGACCCCATCATGGTTGAAGGATGCCTTCTCTGCACTCTATGTCTGCATAGTGAGGGATCTTCTGAAATCTTCCATTCTGATAAACTTGTTCAATTCAGACTTGTCCATCATATGGAGATTAGACCCAAAAGGCTATGTTGGGGGATTTCTCCTCTGCCTTCAAAACTCCCACCATCTGGTTCAGTGCTCCAGTTTCTCCTGAAGGAAGATTCCAGGAGGCCTGGTTGACTGGAAAGACTGCCCAGCCTAGGTCCTGAGGCTGGAGCTGGAGGGTGGAAACTAAGCCATTGTTCGCCACCTACAGGATGTCTCTCTTCCCCAAACAACTAAGGGAACAGGAAAGAGGAACACAGGGGAAAAGGAACTGTGAAGGGGGGAGGTAGAGGGAAGCCCTGCAGCTCTGCTGTGAAGGGCCCAGCCCCCACCCAGAGCCCCTGCAGCCAGGATGGGCACGGGGCCTGGGTCCTCATATTCCACTGGTCACATGAGCTCAGAGCAGGACAGGACTTTTCTCAGCCATGAACAAAGGGATAATGGGAGGAAGCAGGCTACTCATTGCTCTGTGATGAGGTGAGGCAAGAACACTTCCTAACTGGATTCAATGAGCTTCAGTAGCCATTGCTTCCTGCCCCCGAGACATACATGCAGGCAGGTTGGGGCAGCACCTGCTGCTCTTCCATCCTGGGGCTGTGGGCCATATCTGCAAGTGAGAATGCCATGAACCCTCACAGGATGCCCAGGTTCCCCTCTGCCTCTCACCATGACTGCAGAGCTGCTTTTCTACCCTCCAAATCCCATCGCAACTTTGTGGCAACCTTCAAGGCCATTTGCCTGCTGTGGTCACTTTGCTCCGAAGATCTCCAGGTTATGCATTAGCTCCCTTGAGGTAATGGCAGAAGGAAAAGCTAAGCGTGTTATTTTCAGGTGGACTGAAAGTGAATGAAAATGGGTACTACTTGGTTTCTGATCTTCATAGAAAACAAAAGTTACATAAGAAAACTATACATTGATGCTAACCCCAGCTTATGAAAATAGTTTATAAATCCTTCACTGTGTATAGCTGCTAGGAAATAAAAGTGGAAGCCATGGCCCCCTCTGCTGTGTGCCCTGCCTGGTGTAAGCACATGAACTTCCTTCGGCAGTGCTCTCACAGACCCAGGGGAAGCCACTTTCACACGTGAGCTCCAGTAATCTAAACAGAGCTGCTCCACGTGACTCTTCCAGGAAGGCTCTTCCTGCCCCACCTCTGGCAGTGGGGGTCAGCAGGCCAGGCAGGTGCAGGCTCCACTCTGAGGCACAGGGTGCAGCTGTCTGCAGCATGGACCTCGCTGATGCACACTCCTGGGGCTCCTCCCAGGCTCCGTGGACACCAGAGGATGCCTGGCAATGTGTGTGTGTGTGGGGGGGTTTTGCAGGAACAGCCTTCTTCCTAGTCCTGGGCTCTGATTCCAAGTCTGCACTGTGCTATGGCTGTGCCTTCAAAGGGCTGCTGTTTCTGGGTCTGATGTGAAGGTGGTCAGGACCTCTCTGGTCCAATTTCTGGCTGGATTCATTGAGCCCCTACAGCCACAGCTTGGTTTCCACAAATGTCTGTTCAATCTGTTTCCTCAGGGAGCAGGAACTTGTAACTGATCTCCTCAGCCATTCTAAATAGCAGGACCCTGAGTCTGTGCCAGACCTGTCCCCACTCCCTCCAGGACATGCTGCGAGCCGGATATACACAGGAGGGACTGAGGGGAAATGCCACCGCTGCCTCGATATAAACCAGCCAGCCCCCAGGAGCCTGGACATTTACCAAGCCAAGCGTGAGAGGATGTGAACACGCTTGATCTGGAAGCACCAGCCCATCCAAGCATGACCTCTCATTTCTTGAAACCGGCTGTAAACAGTGATAGGGAGGGGCCTCCGGGCTGCCAAGGGAGGCAGGAGCCGCGTGAGTAATTTGCTGGAGGAAAACAAGTGCGGCATCTCCTGGCACGAGCCTGCAGCAGACACACCCACACACACACCCACCCACCCATGCCCATGCTTTTTGACTGCAGTGGGTGGAGGAGCTGGGTTTCCAGATGCACAGAACAATCCCTGTGCTCTGCAGTAGTGCCTTGGCTCTGCCATGCAGCCTGAGGTAAAGGTAAGAGCCAATGTCTGGTGCTCCTGGGACAAGGGTGGTTAGGAGAGCAGCCACTGTAGGCTGAGGGAACTCTGATGACCTTCCACCAACAGGAGCCCTCTCAGGACAGAAGACAGGGATGCAAAGCAAGAAGGACAGTGAGACAGGCCCTTGCTCATGTCTGTTGGATGGACATGCCCTACTTGTAAGGTCACTAGAGGACTGGGCTCCCATCACTGGTGTGTGGCCCTTCTGTGTGTGGCTCTCATACCTGCTATTTCAGAGGAGTGAAGGCGATTTGAAATGCGTGGGAGCACCTCAAACAAAGCATAGGCCCTGGATGCCACAGGAGGCTGGGCCAGAAAGTTCAGGATGCCATAGGAGGGGCTGGGCCAGCAGGACTGTGGCTGGGGGTTGATAGTCTGTGAGAACAGAACACTCCTGGGTACAGACTTGTCTTACTGACACCCACTCACAGTGGCCACAGAATGTTTTATGGGACTTGTGGTCAATGAGGTCTGGTGTATGATGGAAGGATTGGGGCCCTGCAACATGGGCTCCTGCTTACATCAGTGACCACCAAAGCTGTACAGCTTGGGAGACAGGAACCTGGGGACTGAGACACCCGTGAGACAGCACTTAATCACAGGTGTGGTTACAGGCATCTGTAGCCAGGATTTGAGGAGACTCAGAACAGGAGAAACAGAAAGGACAAACCATTGGGCTGCTCCAGAGACCACAGATGACATCTCAAGAGATGATGGTTCTGGGAAGGGATCAGAGGAACCCACACCTTTCACATACCTGCCATTCCCTCCCCCACAGCGCTCACTGGCCCTGTGTGGGGCTGGTCAGGATGGTTGAGTAGAGGGGTAGGCAGAGTCCTATCTGGAATATAGTTGCTGTAGTTCAGGACATGTGCCCAAAGAGAATGGGGAGAATGAGGTTGCCTTGTGCCAAGTGGGGCTTGCTCTTGGCACCTTACTGTTTGACATCCCATCTCAACTGTGGGGACCACAGTGGTGCTGCATTATGTTCTGGGCTTGGTGCCCCTCTCACATGCGCCTGAGAACTGCAGCCCAGAATCTAGCCCAACTCTGAGCTCCTGAGTCCAGGGTACGAGGATGACCAAAGCTGCCAGTGAGGATAGGCCTAGGGTCAGTGTCCTCATTGTTGTGGGACTTTACAGTGCTGTCTGCACCTGGATTGAGGGGTGGCATCAGAGCACAGACTGTTTCCTCCATCATAAACTTTCCTGTTTCTACCCTCAGCCATGGTGCTGGCATATGGGGGGGGGGAGGAACCCCCATCCCTCACTGCTGGGATCCTGTGTAGAGGTGGGGACTGCAGAGCCTCTTCTGGTGAGCCCTCAGCAGGCAGGACCAGAGCCAGTCCCAGTAGCCTGGCTTCCTTTCTTTGTTTCTAAGCTCTGGGAAACAGGACAGTTGGCTTTCTGTGTGTCTGCCTCAGACATTGTCTTCCATTCTGAGAGCAGGAGGTCTGGTTAGGTCAAACTACATTTTAATTATGTTTCCTGAAAAATGTCTGTTCTTTGTAGAGGAAGAATTCTTTACATTAGGGTTCCACCAATCAGTTTCATATTTCAAGATGTGCTGTGTCCCCAGGCAACCCAGGTATCAGGCTGCCAAACTCTCCCAGTGTGGGCAGATATGAGCACCAGTCATCCAGTAGGCTTTAGGAACCACGGTGCTAGGCTGTATAGGCTGGGGGGAGCAGCTTACTTGCTCTGTTCTGGCAAGGTAGGAGTTCTAAGACCACAGTGTGTGCCGGGCTCCCTCTCAGGATCCAACATATACCTTCTCCAGAGAAGCACGAGGGGCCGGGATCCCACCCAGCCCTGCTCAGTGCCAGCTACTTTTCCAGGCCCACTTATGGGTTAAAGCTTGTGCTTCATGTGCACACTTGATGCTCCCACCTGCCAAGTGCTTCTTTCTTGCTTCCACTTGGCAAGTACCCGGACAGGTACACATATATGTCCCACCACATAACACTGTGTTGTCCCCTTGCCCCAGCTCACAGTAGGTGCTCACTGTACATTGGTTAAGAATAGCCCACAGCACTGCTCAGTACCTAGAGTCAGGTGGGTTCTGTCCCTGTAGAGCCCCCCAGTGCCAAAAGGTGGCAGCAGCTCTCTGCTGGTAGATTCATGATACAGAGAAGGGCATGCCATACTCCTTGGGTAGATTCTGTGGCAGTGTCAGGAGTGAGCTGTCCAGGACTTGATTTCCTAAGGAAATGGGATATCAGAGCCCGACTATGGCCCTGAATGTCATAACAGCCTTACTTGGGACCTTATAGAGTTTCTCAGGGGTTGGTGCCCAGCAAGGGGACAGGGCATGGCTGACTTTGTCCCTTCTCTCCACAGAGGTGTGCAGCCTGGGTGAGGCCGTCATGTGGAGCTGTGGCCTGCTCAACAGCACGACACAGGGCGAGGAGCAGCTGTGCCAGGACCTGCGTCTAGGGCTCTGGGTCCTCTCTTTGCTCTACCTGGTGGCTGGTGTCCCTGTCGGCCTGGGATACAACACATTGCTGGTGCTGGTGAACCTGAGCAGCAAGAGCAGTATGACCATGCCAGACGTGTACTTTGTGAACATGGCCGTAGCAGGCCTTGTGCTCAGCACTCTGGCTCCTGTGCACCTCCTGGGGCCACCCCACACCAGGTGGGCACTATGGAGCCTCAGCAGCGAGGCACATGTGACACTGCTGATCCTGTTCAATGTGGCCTCCCTGGTAACCATGTACTCCACTGCCCTGCTCAGCCTTGACTACTACATTGAGCGGGCCCTGCCTCGTACCTACATGGCCAGCGTGTATAACACGAGGCACGTGTGCGGCTTTGTCTGGGGTGGGGCACTGCTCACCAGCTTTTCCTCCTTGCTCTTCTACATCTGCAGCCACGTGTCCTCTCGGGTTGCTGAGTGTGCCAAGATGCAGAACACCGAAGCTGCCGATGCCATCCTGGTGCTCATCGGGTATGTGGTACCAGGCCTGGCTGTGCTGTATGCCTTGGCACTGATCTCTCGGATCCGAAAAGAGGACACGCCCTTGGACCAGGACATGGGGAGGCTAGATCCCTGGGTGCACAGGCTACTGGTGGCCACTGTGTGCACACAGTTCGGGCTCTGGACACCTCATTACCTGAGTCTCCTGGGACATACAGTGCTGGTCTCACGGGGGAAGCCTGTGGATGGGCACTACCTGGGGATCCTTTACTTTGCCAAGGATTTGTCCAAGTTCCTGGCCTTCTCTAGTAGCTCTGTGACACCACTGCTGTACCGCCATATCAACAGAAACTTCCCTAGCAAACTCCGCCGATTGATAAAGAAAATAAACTGTGGTCTCCGGCACTGCTCCCCAGATCCCTCAGGGGTCCAACCAGTGATGGCGCAGGCTTAGGGAGAGTACCAGCTGGCAGTGACCATGCTGGGGGCTTCCCTTGCCCCTCTCTGGCCCCAAGTCTTGGGAGATGAGCTGGCCACAAGGAAAACCAAGTTCAACTGGATGCAGAGCACTTTGTTACCCAGACGCTTGGTGCTTTCTGTCCAGAGATGGACTGCTACAAGGATAGCACAAGGGGTATTTTTCTTGAGGTTTTCTATGTTTTCCCCAAAAAAGGCTCATCTTGGGCAGGCCATGCTGGGAAAGCACAGTCCAGTGTGGAGGACAGGCTGCCTCTTATCACCCTGCATTCACTGGGAGATGGGGCATCTCTGCTGAAGACATCTCGCAGTCCATGTCCTCACCATAAACTGACCTTCAGCCTCCTTAACAGCAGGCTTTTGGAATGAAGTGATAAAATTTAAAGCCAGTATTTATACTTTATATTGCCATAGTACTTGATTCCCCTCTTTGTTTTATAGAGATGTTTGACAGAAAAATGACAAGTATTAAGATGAAGGAAACAGTGCAAAGAGGGCAACATTACTGCCAGCTGGCAGCCTAGGTTGAGGATAGCACTGCACCAACAGCCACATGGAAGGGCCTTACCCACCACACATCCTTGCTGCCCTGCCCCAAAGATAGCACCAGTTCATTTCCTTCTGTGCAGACCTGCCCCTCTAAACCCCTTCCTCAGAGTGCACATAACACTAAAGAATACACATTAGCTCAAGGAGGACTGCCAACTTACTCCCTAAGCAAAGTGCCTTCCTAGGGCATTCATCAGTGAGGGTTAGGAGGGAGGACAGGGTGGCATGAAGCTGGTTCCCCGAGTGTCCAGGACTTGGCATCCGTGGTGAGGAGATGGCCTGTGGGGCCTGTTCAGTGTGCAGCCACACGTGGGTGTTAGCAGCAGGTCAGCACAAGTGAGGTACCCTTCGGCCACCTGAGCCCTGCTACTTTTCCCAACTCTCATCCCTCCACATCACCCATATCTTCCACTCCAGTTCTTTAGGATTTAATTATAGGTCCACAATCCCAAATCCCCAATTCTGAAACCCAGGAAGCTCTATAAGCTTTCTTTTTTTGCAGAGCCAGGGATTGAACTCAGGCCCTTGTGCTTGCCAGGCAAGCACTTATTCAACTGAGCTATCTCCCCAGCCCCTCTATAAGCTTTAAGTGATGTGAGGCACCTCCAGCATATTGCCCTCTGTTTTGGCAGCATAGCTGTTGTGATGGGTGCTGCCCAGGCTTAGTGTTAAGAGTAACACGGGCTATGTGAGCCTGCAGCTGGTTTCTGAACACACCTATCCGGTGCTATGCAGTGTGACCCCACCTTTGGCCTGTTTTATGATTGGTGCCTTGAATTCTGGTCCTAGTCTCTTGGGAAACTCAGCCATGGGAAACTCATTTTAGTTGTATTTATTATACACATACCATGTCTCCTCAAATCCTCAAATTGTGGTGTGCTTCAGTCATTTTGCATTGTGAAGAATTGTGAAAATACACTGGATGCCGTGGCTTTGGGTCCAATGTCTGCCCCTAGCAGCGGTGATATGCTTTGCAAGTTCCCTGGGCCCCACGTCCTCATCCATAAACCATGGAGCTAAAGTGAAGAGCTGATCTCTGAGTTGCTTCTAACTGTGAAATTTTGTTTACATATGTCAGGGTCTTGTTCAAACCTTTAAAGTTTCAAGCCTGTCTTTCCCTTCTCAAGTGCAGAGTTTGAGGAGGGTCTATTGCTCACAGAAGTAGCCACCACACTTCTCATCCTGATGGCTTCACCTGAAACCTCAGTTTTGTTTGCTGAGAAAGTGATGACCCCAGCCCTGAAGAGTCCAGCCCAGTCTTGCCCTGCAGAGGGCAGCTGACTGGTGCCTGCCTGTGTATAATTCTCTTATGGGTGAGCAGGTCCAAGGACCAAGGGCAGCCCACTTTTCTAGTTAATAGAGGAAACAGGTTCTAGACGAGGAGGGCTCTTTGTGGTGGTGGGGTCTTTGCTTAAAGTAAGATTGTAGCTGCTTGTAGTGGTGCAGCACTGGGGAGGCTGAGGCAAGAGGATGGTCATGAGTTTGACGCCAGCCTGGACTATACAGAGTGTTAAGGCCAGCCTTAACATAGCTAGATCCTATCTCAAAAAAAAGGTAAAGACCCTTTTCCTGGATTATACTTTCTGCATCTTTTGCTCCAGGCAAAGAGCTCCAGGGAAGGAGCAGACCCCACTCTACCACAGACCAGGAGAGGTACAGGGTCTCTGCCTACCTGGAATTCTTCCACCTAACCAATTCTCCCTCAGTGTGGGCAGGGAGATCACAAGTCCCTTTCAATTCCTCAGTGGCTTTGCATGCAAACTGGTTAAGTCCTGGGGGAACCATGTGACTCACCCGCACCTGCCCAGAGGGACAGATTCAGTAGAATCCTGTAGTCTGGGTGGCTTGTCCTAGCAAGGCCAAGCAGGCAGCAGGCAGCCACCTACAGCACAGACTCCAGGCCTGGTCATATCCCTCTTCACCCGCACTGGCCTTTGTAGTGGTCCCCACATGCGCCTCACTGCACGGCCCTTGTCCTCAGACAGCTGCTCCCATGCGCTGCACTCTGCTTGGTCTGGAGGATCCTGTGTGTCTAACTTGTCTCTTGTCCTCTAAGATGTTTGATTTTCAGTTCTACTGTGTTTCCAAGAGAGAGGAGGGGAAAAAAACAAAACAAAAACAAAACAAAAAAAAAAACCAGAAAGAAGAAGAAAGCACTGAAGCTACTCAGAGAATAAGGAGCTCTACGGCAAAAGCCAAGGGGGCCACAATCTTAGTCCTTGTCTCTGTACATGAGCTGACCATGCAGGTCAAACGTTTTTGAAACTGTTTGAGGGCCACGAGTTTTGCATCAACTAGTTCTTGACTATTATTTAAAGCTAACAATATCATTTTTATTAATCCACCAGAAAGCTTGCCCTGTTTCATTATTTAATATTCTAAAAAGTGAGTTTCATCTTGGATTTCCTTTACAAAGGTTACCTGATTCACTGTAGGAAACTGGACCTATTGCTAATTGTGGCAGATACGTCATGAAATCAACAAGTACTGTTCTTTTATAACAAGCAATCAGCAAAGCATAAAGCAAGAATTTACACTATATGTTAAATTCCTGAATTTAAAACTGGTTAGAAATTGGGAGCCTTCTGGCTTCTGTTCTGTGGTCTTTATCCCACTGACGGTGCCTGTGTGACTGAGGTTCTATGAATCTGAAAAAGAAACTGCTGGAAGATCCCACACATTTTAAGACCATTAAGTTATTTAACGTTAATTACCCAGTTTGTGGATTCTTAAAATGTGTCTTTCTACGGGTGTGTGATATGTATCAGAAAACGAGCATAGGAAGTACTTTAAAATTGGTTATTTCCCTACATAACATGAATTTCAAGGTTTTTACTTATTTCTCTATAGTTTGTCTTCATAGAAATTACGTCAAACTAATAAAGCAATAGCCATTCAGTTCTACATGTGTTCCTGTGGTTGCTTAAATATGATAGAGCTGGCCCTGGTTGCCCACACATGAGGTGGCACATGGCAGGATGACCCCAGCTGCTCCACCTCTGTCCCCATGGTCTCGCCTAGCCCCACCTGCCCCAACCCCAGGGGTGCTCTTCAACATTACAGAATTCCCTTGGTTCTTGCACCTTGCCAGGCTGAGCTGAACAGTCCCTCTCACAACTTGTTTTCGATTACCTACTCAATACAGTGGTGCTCCTGTGCTCCAGTGCTACCCCTGTGCTTGTGCTGATGTGTCTGCTATGGCCATGCTGGGCCAGCATGGTCCACCTTCTAGGCCTGCAGGCCCATACAGGTGGCCATGGGAGCCTGAGGCAGTGGCAGCTGTTTACCAGGTACTTGGTATTGACCTGGTACCATGTGACACACTCTTGGGACTCAGCTTTTTTAGGTGTATGAATACCTGAAATACCTGTTGCTCAGGAAGTCTGACTCCAAAGGGGGCTCCTTGCCTGTCCACCTGCTCCCCTTCAAGGGCATCCTGATCTTGGGTCTAAGGTCTCTGCACTGTTTCAACCCTATGACTCCACTTGGTCAAAAAAGAAACATAAAGGGTATGGTGGTACATACCTGTAGTCCCAGCTCTAGGGAAGCTCAGGCAGGATGATCACTTAAGCTCAAAGTTAGTGACCAGCCTGGGAAAAATAGTGACATCCCATCTTTAAACCCCAGGAACTCAGTCCTGATGGTGCCAGTGAGGTAAGCCAGGAAGGGGACCCTTGGGCCACTGGGTGCAGAAGGCCAGTGTCTGACAGCCACATAGGGACTGGATCACTGGGGAGGGCAGGACCTCTGTCTGGAAGGGACCCAGCTTTATGCCAAACCCCACCTGGCCTTTCTTCACTGTTCATGTCCCTGAGAAGCAAGGCTCATGTCCTGTCTGCCTGACACCATCCTCCACTACTGTTCAGGCTCTGTGGTTCCTTAGCTGGGTCAAATTCATCCATCCCCTCTGCTGGGATGGGCATCTGGCTCTTTCCAACCTCAGACTTTGTGGATAACTGGTGTTGCCACAGGTGCCCTTAGTATAGTAGCCTCTCTGCCATGGCAGGAGATACTTCCTCTGGGGCCAGGACATTCTGGAATGAAGCCAATGGCCTCTTGTTGGAGCAGTGGTGATATGGGTAGCAGGCACCTGTTAGAACTCATGGACCTGGACACGAGATCTGTGCACTTGGCTGTTTGTAGATGAGATCTGGGTGCTGCATGAGGAGGGCCAGGGAGGTCCTCAACCTCAGGGCCACTTGCACAGACAAGCAGCACCAGCGGACCAGATGCTATGAAGAGTAAAGCCCTGCAGCTGCCGTCACTTCATGCCAAGCAGAAGTGTGTGATTCAGAAGCTACACAACAGGCTTTTCAGAGCTCCATCCAGTGGCCGAAGGTGCTCAAGAGCCAAGAGAATAGCACGCTTCAAGTTACTCTCTCAGAGGACCAATAGAGCACCCACCCAGAAGCCCATCATTGTGACATGAATTCCCTGGGCACAAAAAAGGATTTACATGAAGAAAGGCCTCTGATTTTTTCTTTTTCCTTCCCTTCCTTTTCTTTTTTCTGGTACTGAAGACAGAAGCCAGCATCATTCTACTACTGAACTATATACCCTGATGTTCCCCCATCCTCATATTGGGGATTAAACCTAAAGCCTTTTTTAATTTTTTGAGACAGGGTCTCCCTAACTAACTAGCTTGCCCAAACTGGGTTTGAACTTGGGATCCTTCTGCCTCAGCTTCTTGAATCAACTGTATTACTGGCATATGCCACAATGTCCAGTCTGATTTTTAAGTAATTTTCATGGAAGTATTTTTGGCAGAAAGCTTTAAAGCACCAAGCTGGGCTCAAACACCTCACAGTTCCACCAGCCTTCCTCCTCCATAGGGTCCAGAATATGGAACACCATCACTGGGCATTCCCTCTCCGTGAGGCAGCTGGGCCAAACAGAAATCAGGCTGCACGAGCGAAGGGAGAGGAGCTTAGCTCTCTA